TGCAATTTAATAAAAGTTTAATTGCTAAGGTACAAATTATAAAGAAATTGTTCTGATATTTGGCAGCTTGTATATCAAACTTCAGTAGAGATTTTCTTAAACATGTACACAATTTGCAAACTAAGAGTATGCTATAAAGATGGTGCCAGACCCTGAAATACATCACTGTTCCTGATAATCTAATTATGTAGGCATGAATAATGTGACAGTTTAGTTCTGAACATGAATACCCCATAAATTCCCCCCAATCTGTATCTATGAATTAAAATGAAAAACAATTTTAAGACTGAATTTAACTTTTTTTTTTTTTTTCAAAAAAAATTTAACTATTTGTGCCACATATATTAGAAACTAGACAACCTACAAAAAGAACTTGAGGAAGTTTGTGTGGAAGGTTGGTTTTTTATGAGAGTATCCAGTTTTGAGAGCTCATTCTTAATCTTTCCCTGTTTGCTGTACCACCTACTTCACCTGCCAACTGTTGTGGTGCCGAAAACAAAAAGTGGGGTGAAGGCTAAAATTCTCTATATTAAAGCTATTCTATATATTGACACTTCCTTAACATGAAGTTCAATCTCCTACAGAACACTATATGCACAGTATCTATATTTTAAAAAAACAACTACAATAGCTCTCTACCCTTGCTACATACCTAGCCTGAAATCCTGGTACGACTGAGCCAAGATTTCACCACTAAGCTTTAACTCTTTTGATATGTTTTTTGCTTGTTTCTACCTCATCCTTCTCTCATTGGAAATCCTCAGCAGGTGTCTGAAGTTTGCTGGCCACAAATTATTCCACATCTCTGCCACCAGGCTAGAAATTGTACTTGCCATTCTCCACAACTCAACCATTTCTGCAGCGGCCAAAACTGCAGAGGTATCTTCCCTCTACGCCAGCCCTCTCTGGTCTCCATCTATATCCTCAGCCCCTGACACACCATCTGTCAGCAGCACCTTCCCGCGCCAGAGACGCCTCAGGGACGTTCAACTAATGTGCAACCCAGACAGGACACAGCTGGAGCCAAGGATGAGGGGGCGCATGACACCCCGATATGGGAGGAGAACAGACGCCCCCTCATTCAAGGGACTCACCACCAGAGACCCCCCTGGATCCACTCAGGCCTCGCTACCTCCCTACCCCAGGATACCACCCGACCTCCTCGAGGCTCGTCCCCACTCGCAGGCACCATCCTCGCCCCACCCCGGGGTCCCCTCGAGCCCTCACCTCTCTCCTCCTCATCGATGCGCAGCGCCACGGAGATGCACTCGAAGGCTCGCTTGTGACAGGCTCGCACCGTCTCGGGCGCCCCGCCGGGCTCGGGCGCGTCGCCGGCCCCGGCTCTGCCCTTAGCGGCCATGAGGGCGCCCCGGGAGAGGCGCTCGCAGAGCCAGGCGAAGAGCAGCCCGAGCTGGAAGGCGACGAAGCGGAGCAGCGCGAAGGCGGCGAAGAGCGGGTAGGAGAAGTAATAGAGGTTCCGCTTATGGGGAGACGCCGCGGCCGCCCCCGCCGCCGCCTGCTGCAGGGGGGGAGCCGGCCCGGCCGGGGAGGAGGGGGACGCTCCGGGGGCCTGTGGCGGGGAGCTGGAGCCGGCTGAGCCCTTCTTCTTCCCTCTGCCGCCCGGAGAATTCATTCACCGCCGTCGCCATAACCCGCTGCCAGCGACTGACAACAACCGGCCATGGCGGCGGCTACGCCCCTTTGAGCCAGCCCCGGCTAGGAGGACCGTGGGGAAAGTGCGCACAGGCCCTTTCTGAATACAGGGCAGCGTAGCCGCCGCCCGTAGCGTGCGGTTATTGTTGACAAGCAGCTGCGAGAGGCCGGCAGCGAAGCGACAATGGGAGGTGTGGTTGGCGCAGCGGCTGCGCATGGAGACTACATATCCCAACATGCAGCGAGGCACTGGTTGCGCAGCATGCCGGGTACCGTAGTCCGGATTGGTCGTTTTTTCGAGGGTTCAGGGAATCCGCTGCGGGCGCGTTGCATGTTGGGACATTTAGTCTTTTCGTTCCGCGTTGCCTATCGGGAGCTGCTGCAGCCCAAGGCGGGTCAGTGGCCGGTCTCGCTGTGGAGTGTTGCACGCCGGGAAATGAGATGCCCCGCCCTGTGGCAGGCTGGGACTTGTAGTAGGCGCGGGCTGCGCTGCTCTCTCTAGGAGCCACGAGCTGCACAAAGGGGGCGGTTGCCAACGGCTGGGTGGTGTCTGTCATGCAGTTCCCTGCTGGCAGTCCTCGCGCGTTGCAGCCGGAGCTTCCGGGTGAGCCCCTGCTCCGAAGGGGCGATGTGAGCCGCTGCAGCGCCTCCTCCGCCCTTAGCGGGTGCCCGCTGCAACCCACCCAGTCAGCGGGGAACTGCAAAATGTGGGTCATACGGTCTCGTGCCTACACCTGGGGCAGCACAAAAGGCAACAGGGAATGCACAGGACAGATGTTCCTGAACCAGAAGAGCCGGTCCCTGGCTTTGGTAACTCTCACACCCAGGGCCGGCTTTAGGCCAATTCAACCAATTCCCCTGAATCGGGCCCCACCCCTAAGAGGGCCCCGCACCCAAGCCCCGGTACGGCGTACCAGCAAGAGCCGGTGTGCTGTACCCAGGTGGCCCGGCTTCCCCAGGGGGCAATTTAAAGGGCCTGGGGCTCCCAGCAGGGGCTGAAGCCCAAGGCCCTTTAAATTGTCACCATAGCCCCACTGCTGGAGCCCTGGGGTAGGGCTGCGAGGCTCTGGGGGCTATTTAAAAAGTCTGGGGCTCCCGTTGCTTCTACCGCCCCGGCACTTTAAATAGCTGCTGGAGCACCGCCGCTTCCCCAGGGCTCCTGCGGCTATTTAAAGGGCCGGGGCAGTGGAAGCAGAGGAGCTCCAGGCCCTTTAAATAGCCCCCGAGCCCCGGGCTGCTGCTGCTACCCCGGTTGGGGAGGGAGGAGGAGGGGGCACTTACCGTACAGGGTGGGCTGTACATGCACCCTCTGCCCGCACCAGCCCCGCACCGTCCGGCCCTGCCCGCACCAGCCCCTGTCTCCAGCCACCCCCGCACCTCTTGCCCTGCCTGCAGCCAGACCCTACCTCCAGTCAGCCCCTGCCCTGCCTCCAGCCAGCCCCATGTCCACTGGTGCCCTGCAGTACCCAGGGCAGTAACCCTGCACACTTGCTTCAATGATGGGGGCAGGGAGCAGCTGGGACCCACACTTGTGCACACCGGGTGACCAGACAGCAAGTGTGAAAAATCGGGACAGGGGGTGGGGATAATAGGATCCTATATAAGAAAAAGACCCCAAAATCGGGACCGTCCCTATAAAATCGGGACATCTGGTCACCCTAACACACCCCCAGGGAGTGGTGGGGACCCACACATGTGAAACGGAGCTCATTTCTAGTTCAGGCCCATCTTTTTAGAAAAGAACTTTAGGTAGGGTTAACATACATCCTTATTTTCCCGGACATGTCAGGCTTTTTGGTTCTTAAATCGCCGTCCGGGAAAATACGGACGTATGGTAACCCCATTGGTACAAAAAATACATACTGTGGCACATCTCTTAAATCAGAACTTTTTATAGGGAATCGGTTGCTAAGAAATGAAAGGCTTTTTTTTACATTTTTTTTTTAAGTCATCCCTGCCGGGGCCCCGCCGAAAATGTTCGAATTGGGCCCTGCGCTTCCTAGAGCCGGCCCTACTGGACAGTCACTACGCAAGAGGATAAATGGACACAAGTCAGATATCAGGAATGGCAATATACAAAAACCTGTAGGAGAACACTTCAACCTCCCTGGCCACACAATAGCAGATGTTAAGGTAGCCATCTTACAGCAAAAAAAACTTCAGGACCAGACTCCAAAGAGAAACTGCTGAGCTCCAGTTCATTTGCAATTTTGACACCATCAGATCAGGATTAAACAAAGACTGTGAATGGCTATCCAACTACAGAAGCAGTTTCTCCTCCCTTGGTGTTCACACCTCTACTGCTAGCAGAGCACCTCACCCTCCCTGATTGAACTAACTTCGTTATCTCCATACTGATTTATACCTGCCTCTGGAGATTTCCATTACTTGCATCTGAAGAAGTGAGGTTCTTACCCACGAAAGCTTAAGCTCCCAATACTTCTGTTAGTCTTAAAGGTGCCACAGGACCCTCTGTTGCTTTTTACAGATTCAGACTAACACGGCTACCCCTCTGAACTTTGAATTGGTAACATGGAGTTCTATATGCCTTGACTATTACAGATTTCTGTCAGTTTTACTCAAAAACATTGAAGTATGTTTGATTCCTAATTATCAACCCTGTGAACTCATTATGGGCTCTGACAGCGAAGCTGAGTTCTTTCCATCTCAGCTGTCACCACCCATAATAAAGGTTCTAGGCAAGACTGTTGAGAACCACAACCACCTGTGCAACTTTTAGCCTTAGGTGACTCTCTGCAGTTGTCATTGAGGGTGACATTTGTATGCAATTGCAATGCCTTTTATTAATGATGATGCACCAAACCGAGGAAGGGAAACCAACTGTTAAAGCCGTGGGGTAAGTTTGTGCAACGGGAAGTCAGACAAGACATCATTTTACCTGCCCACTGGAGTTGAGTGAAATGCACTAATAGGGACTCCACACTTTTACTATATGTATGCTATAACTCAGGCTCCCTCCTCGGTTATATTACCAGCTAACCTGACTGCAGGTGCGTCTACACTACATGCTGCGGCCTGCGGGGCTAACTCCATTGCTAAGCCGCGCCTCTTCCCTATGCCGCTCCATCGTCCCCTTGACTCCAGAGCAGCGGTGCAGGGTCATGTCTGCAGACCCGCGCGCCGCCTGGCCCGAAGCTACGCGGCCGGCGGCTCCAGCAAGCAGACCTCAATGGGCGGGGCTATAGCCACTGACGGTCACGTGTCTGATGATGCTCGGGGACCCCAAGCCCGGACTTTTTCCATTGCCCTGCCTGATGGGGGCGGGGCTTCTCTTCGCGCAGGCGCATTTGGGTGGTCGCCGCAGCGCCACTTCCTTCACTTACGGCAAAACAATTTACGATATCCCCCCAAGTGTGCTGTTGTTAGTGGCTGACGCTGTCGAGAGGCTTCTGTAGCCTCGCAACGATTCTTCCCTTTTCCCCCCCGCGGTGAGACTCGCCGCCGCGCGCCCTCCGTTGAGCTGCTGTCCCGAGAGGTGAGAGCGGTCCCACGGCCGGGGAGCGCGGGCAGCGCTGGGTCCCTCGCTGCCTGGCCCGGCCCGGCCCCGCCCCACTGGGCGGGTGTGAGGCTGGAGGGGGCAGAGCGGGCGGGGCTGCGATGGAGAGGGGCTAGTCCGGTCCGGGTCAGCGCCCGCTGTCGCGTGCCCGCTCCCCGGCGCGGGAAGCCTCGGCTGTGACCCGGCGAGGCGCGGACACCGGCACTCGGCCGCCCAGGGAGCCCCTCGCTACCCCCAATCGCTGCAGGAGCCGCCGCAGCCCAGGCCGAGCTAGCGGCTTCCTGCGGTACCAGCTGCGCCGTGCCGGTGAGGGTGGAGGGAACCGAGCAGGAACGTGGGGTTGTCCCAGGCTGGCATGTAGCCTCTTGCTGGGGGGGGCACTTCGTGAGACAGGAGAGATTTTTTTTTCTTGTCTTCTGAGCTGTAATGTTGGCCCCGGACTGCTGGTATCGGAGGTGGCCGTGACAGGGAGTGGGTTAGGGTTCGCTCAGTGGGATTTATTTCTCCTGAAATGGGAACTCTCCTGTATCCCGAAGCGATGCTCCTTCGCCTGTTTTAAGAATGATTAAAAACGAGAAGCCGTCGTAAGCCAGCTCTCAACGCCTGCTTCTCTCCCCTCGTCTCCAGCTTTGCTGGAGGAGCTCTTGGATGTCTCTGAATATACATCTCCTGTACTCTAGCACCTTAGTGGAGGGAGTGAGATTGGTTGTGTCCTCTAGGAGATATTGTAATACAAATACATAATAGATATCTCTTCTCTGAAATGTTCATTAACTGCTGGAGTTAAATGAGTGTTAATTGTTGAAACACTCTCTTCTCCACTCACTGGATTGGCTTTCTTTCACTTTTCAGAGTAGCAGCCTTGTTAGTCTGTATCCGCAAATGAACAGGAGTACTTGTGGCACCTTAGAGACTAACAAATTAAGGTGCCACAAGTACTCCTGTTCTTTTTTCTTTCACTTGACTCTTGAGGATGTCAGTTTCACTAGTTCTTTATTTACTATAGAGCAGCAGTTCTAAGACTGTATGGTGGGCTTCCTAAGGGAGGTGAGAGAATGTGTCAAGGCAGACGAGAGCTGTGTGGGTTTTTTGTTTTTGTTTTTTTTTAAGAGCTCTGGCTATCAGCCTTGGCTGGCTGGGATTTGTGCACAAGGGCCAGGCACACTGAGTAGGCGGAGATAAAAGGGACAGCCGGAGCCCCATCACCTGAGCTTTGGCTCTCCTCCCCGCCATCCCTCACCTGGGCTCAGGCATTCAGCTGCCTGGTGGCAGCAGCAGCACAGAAGTAAGAGTGACAATGGGGTGCTAAGTCTGTTGTGAAAAGTGATTTCACGATGCCACCCTTACTTTTGTGCTGCTGCGGGCACAGTGCTGCCTTCAGAGCTGGTGGCCCGGCCAGCAGCTGCTGCTCTCCACTCTGCCTTCAGAGCTAGGTGGCGGTATATGTACTTGGCGTGGGATGGCGTAAATGACTACAGACACAAAGAAGGGGGGCCCAATCGAAGTTTGAGAATGACTGCTATAAAGTCATATAGGGTAGAAAAGACAAAACAAGCAGAATACAGATTTTTTTAAACAAATGTCTCAGGCCTTTAAATGTTAGAGATTTGAAAAAAAGGAACAAGTCTTGTTTAAAAAAAACTATGCTGGTCTCCTTTAACACTAACTTGTGCAGTCAGTTCTAGATGTCTCTGGACCACATATGCACATTTGCCAATTCTGACTGAACTAACCTTGTCTGAAAGTTCTCTTTTAAGTTACTTTGCCTGAGTTTATTTCACATGTTCTTTTGAAAAACTTCAGATTTTTTATACAAGAAAAATATGGTTCACAGAGCTGAGGGGGAGGGAAAAGACCCAAACCTAACTGATGGTAACTCTTTGCATGATGGTAACCAGAATTGTCAACTATATTTTAAGTGTCAACTAACTTATTTTTTTATTGATTTTAATGTTCTGACAAATTGTTTTATTTTGTTTTGTTTGTTACTTCCCAAGATTGTAGCACATTTGGTGACTTCCAAGTTTCAAATCATGGATACAGAACAGATCATGGAGGGGCAGGCACAGGTATAGTAAGAAACTTTTTACATTGATTTTTCTATTAGCAAATACATAAAGTGCATTTTGGTTTTGCTGACTAGCATGTTGTTTTACAGGTTCCAGAAAATCCTCATGCTGAATATGGCCTTACAGAAAATGTAGAGGTAACTAAGATTTAATTGTTCTCAAATGCAATTGAAGTAGTATTTCTGATTTGGGGAAAATATGGGTTTAATTTAGCTAAAACGATTGCAGAAATCAGACCCAAAATACAAGGAACTGAGTACTTTTGAAAGCAGTGGGAGATGAAGGGTGTTTAGCATGACTCAGTAAGTGCTAGTACCGTGCACAATTAACTTTTTAATAGTATATCAGTATTGCTGGTTGGGGTGCTAGCATTCTGTTTCTAGTCCAGCAGAAATAATGACCCCTTTTGTGTGGTGGGTTTGTCTTTTTTTATTTTATTTTTTTTAAGTACTATATACAACTTACCTCCACTACCTCTTCCATTGGTGTGTTGGCAGAAGAACCTGTTGTAACACTTCTTGGGGTCACCCAAAACCTCTTGTATGAATCACTACCACCTGCTTACAGCATGAGAGAGCAGTGTCTTTGTCAACTGAGGGGAAAATGCCTCCCAATTCTGACAGCCACTGGCAGCACAAGCACTCCGCTCCGGGCCCCACAAGCCCGGCTTTTTCTGTCTGCATGCTAAATTTACATGCACCCTGTGGTTACACTTGAGTGCCCAGTACTGTGCCTTCTGAATTCCTGTGGTGTACACTGATCCACTGCCTCCATGGAAACAGTGCACCCCAATTTACCAGCCTTACCTCAGTTCAACACTGTCCTTAACACAATAATTCCTCACTTAACGTCATCCTGGTTAACGTTGTTTCGTTGTTAGGTTGCGGATCTATTAGAGAACACGCTCGTTTAAAGTTGCGCAATGCTCCCTTATAATGTTGTTTGGCAGCCGCCTGCTTTGTCCACTGCTTGCAGGAAGAGCAGCCCTTTGGAGCTAGCTGGTGGGGGCTTGGAACCAAGGTGGGCTGGCAGTCCCCCTATCAGCTCCCCCAAGTTCCCTGTGCGGCAGCCGCCCACCAGGCTGTCAATTGCTGAGCAGTTCAGGTGTCCGTCCCTCCCCCGCACTGCCGTGTGCTGCTCCTGCCCTCTGCCTTGGAGCTGCTTCTGGGAGCCTCCTGCTTGCTGTGCGAGGACGGGGAGAGGAAAGAGGGGTGCTGATGTCAGAGTGTTGCCCTCCCCCTACTCCTGTGCCCCGCTACTGTACCCCATCTCCACAGAGCAGGGGGGACTCAGGACAGAGGGAGCTTGCTGATCTGCTTAAAAAGGCAGAGTGTGATCAGCATACTTAAAGGGGCAATACGCCTCTGTCTCTCTCTGTTTCACTCACTCACACACACACACACACGCACCACCCGGCACTTTGGAAAGTGGAGGGAGCTGTGCACTCCATTGGGATAGCGTGGGTTCATCATCACGTTCAGTTTCCATAGGAAATGTTTGCAGCCACTGCCATGCATCTATTGTGTCTCCTCCCTCCATTTGTGCTGCCTTGTAGAGTGTGAGGCTACATTAACAACAATGTGTTAACCCTTGAGGGCTCAGCCGAGTGCTAGTTCATCATTTAGCAACAAGGCATTCCCTGAGAAATATCCTACCCTCTGACTTCACCACCTCAGCCAAGCTTCACAATCATCATTGCTGAGTACAGTAGTAAATTGTTTGTTTAAAACTTATACTGTGTGTATATATTTATTTATTTCCCTTGGACCTAAACACCCTCCCCCCCCCCATTTACATTAATTCTTATGGGGAAATTGGATTCGCTTAACATCGTTTCGCTTAAAGTCACATTTTTCAGGAACATCACTACAACATTAAGTGAGGAGTTACTGTACAAGGGACTTAGATGTGTCGATAATAAAACAAAATTGAAGACTATTAACAGAGCTTGAGATAAAGATTCAAAATAAAAAGATTTGGAAATGTAAGGGTACAGGTAAAAGTGAACCATAAAATGCAATCTATAGCCTATACTTAGACAAGAAAGTAATTTGTCACTAATACGATATTTCTCACCCAGTGAGTAGACCTTGAACCGCTTGTCCAGCCCAAAGAGCTTTTCATGAGACACTCCTGCTGGCAGAATGTCACCTCTGCAAAGGATAACATCTTGTTCCCTTTCCCCTTCTCTTACACAGTTATGGACTGTTATCTCTTAGCCTAGGGAGTCATCTAAACAGAGATTTCTCTTGGGTTTTGTTTGTCTTTGTAAACACTCAAGCCTGCATTTGGTCGAGACAGTGAACACAGGGCTGCCTCCACAGATGTTGATTGCCATCTCCTAGTCTCCCTGGCCTCAAGTGACAAGTTTCACTTCTAACGGTTCTGGAACAAAATATACTATATGTTATATATAGACTGATTCTTGCCTGCATATTTATACCTGCCTCTTGAAATTTCCATTACATGCGTCTGACGAAGTGGGCATTCACCCACGAAAGCTTATGGTCCAATACATCTGTTAGTCTTTAAGGTGCCACAGGACTCTTTGTTGCCTTTTACAGATCCAGACTAACACGGCTACCCCTCTGATATGTTATATATAACTCATACAAACATCTCACAATAACCATGACAATCAGCTTGATTTTAGCTTTCAGCAAGACTACACATGATCCCCTTTGGTGAAATATTGAGAAGATGGTCAGACACAGGAGTGATGACTACCTGGGGATGTTGGCATCACACCTTCCTGGCAACTTTTTATTTATTTATTTATTGAGGAGTTGATGGTATATTTGGAAGGGAGGGGAAGCTTTCCATGTTTTCAGGTCTTGGAAATATGCCAAAATAGTCAACTTTTTTTCTTCCCCCTCTCTTAATTATTTAAGAGTGCAGTTTTAACACAAACTTTCTTTTGTTGAAAAAAGGTTAGGCTTGGGGAATGACTACTCTTATTGTTATGCATATGTTTGCTAGTTATCAAAAGACAGGTGCCTTCAATTAAGTCCCTCTAACTTTCTTCTAGTCTAGGCTAATGAATAATAGCGTTTAGCCACTTCTTGCTGTTCAAAAGTCCTGTCTTGCCATTCTCCATCTTGGTCATACTTTCTTGTACTCTTTTCAATCTCCACTGTAGCTATTTTAATGTGATACAACCCAAATTGGTCACTAATCATTGCGCATTTTGTGTATATAATGTTTTTTCTAGGGCTGTCAAGCAATTAAAAAAATTAATTGTGATTAATCGTACTGTTAAACAATAATAGAATAGCATTTATTTAAATATTTTTGGATGTTTACTACATCTTCAAATATATTGGTTTCAGTTATAACACAGAATACAAAGTGGTGTACAGTGCTCACTTTATATTTATTTTTGATTTCAAATATTTGCACTGTAAAAAACAAAAGAAATAGTATTTCAATTCACCTAATACAAGTACTGTAGTGCAATCTCTTTATCATGAAAGTTGAACTTACAGATGTAGAATTATGTACCAAAAACCCCTGCATTCAAAAACAAAACAATGTAAAACTTTAGAGCCTACATGTCCACTCAGTCCTACTTTTTATTCAGCCAATTGCTACAAGAAACAAGTTTGTTTACATTTATGGGAGATAATGCTGCCCACTTTTTAATTAAATGTCACCTGAAAGTGAGAGCAGGAGTTTGGCAGATGCGTTAAAGATTCATATGTCTCTTGATGCTTCAACCACCATTCCAGAGGACATGCGTCCATGCTCATGACCGGTTCTGCTCGATAACAACCCAAAGCAGTGCGGACCGATGCATGTTCATTTTCATCATCTGAGTAAGATGCCATCAGCAGAAGGTTGATTTGATTTTTTTGGTGGTTCAGGATCTGTAGTTTCTGCATCGGAGTGTTGGTCTTTTAAGACTTGTGAAAGCATGCTCCACGCCTCATCCCTCTCAGATTTTAGAAGGCTCTTCAGATTCTTAAATCATGGATTGAGTTCTGTAGCTATCTTTAGAAATTTCACATTGGTATCTTCTTTGTGTTTTGTTAAATCTGCAGTGAACGTGTTCTTAAAATGAACATGTGCTGGGTCATCATCTGAGACTACTATAACGTGAAACATGGCAGAATGCGGGTAAAACAGCAGAAGACATACAATTCTCCCCCAAGGAGTTCAGTCAACAATTTAATTAACGCATTTATTTTTAACGAGTGTCATCAGCATGGAAGCATGTCCTCTGGAACGGTGGCCGAAGCATGCAGAGGCATATGAATCTTTAGCACATCTGGCACGTAAATATCTTGCGGCTCCAGTTACAACAGTGCCATGCAAATGCCTGCTCTCACTTTCAGGTAACATTCTAATTAAGGTGTAGGCAGCATTATCTTCCGTAAATGTAAACAAACTTGTTTCTTGTAGCGATTGGCTGAATAAAAAGTAGGACTGAGTGGACTTGTAGGCTCTAAAGTTTTACATTGTTTCGTTTTTGAGTTATGTAACCAAAAAAACCCCCTACATTTGTAAGTTGCACTTTCATGATAAAGAGATTGCACTACAGTACTTGTATGAGGTGAATTGAAATACTATTTATTTTGTTTTTTACAGTGTATATATTTGTAATAAATAAATATAAAGTGAGCACTGCACACTTTGTATTCTGTGTTATAATGGAAATTGATACATTTGAAAATGTAGAAAAACATCAACAATATTTAATAAAGTTCAATTGGTATTTTATTGTTTAACAGTGCGATTAATCGTGATGGATTTTTTTATTAATTGCATGAGTTAATTGCGATTGACAGCCCTAGTTTTTTCTTACTTTTATGATGCCAGGGTGTGTTCTGTGAGGGGGTTGGTTTGGGTTTTTTTGTTTGGTTGGTTTGGTTTATTTTGTATTTAATAATACAGCTACCATGGGCAGACCTCTTCAAGGAATCATCATGGCTAGTTCAATGATCTTACCCCAAATGTTCTTTGCACGTTTAGAATAAATTATAGACTAACTTTCTGTAGTGCTGATTTAAAAAAAAAAAAAAAAAAAAAAAAAATTTGGAAAAAAAAAAAAAAAAAAAAAAAAAAAAAAAAATTCAGTGTGGCAAAATTGACAATTTTGGAGGAAGTTATGTACATTATATTGTGTGTGTAACAATCCATTTGACAATAGTATAAGACAATTCATTTAATATTTTCTGACCAAGAGGTTACAATATCCATTAATATAGTGGAGCCAAAAAAGTGGAGAAAATATATCTATTTTGTGTGTAAGCATTTCAGCCTATTAAAAAGATTAATAACTTACTGTATTGGAGCCTGATTTCACACAGGGATTTGCATGAGTGGATCAAGTACTATGTACCATGGTCTGTTCCAAGTACCGTTGCTGGCAGGGGAACTCTTGGTAAATGCAAGTGGCCTATCCTGCAAATCCTTCTTGCAGGATTTGATCCTACTTTTTGAAGCCTGATACTACAAATGCTTACAAGAGTAACTTAATGAGGACTGCTTACATAAATAAAATCATTCTAATCTATATCAGTTGGCAGGGAAGAGCCATGAATATAAAAGAGCTGATGAAAATGGTAGTGTAGGGGCTGCCTCCAGTTTCAAGAAACTTAATGTAACTTACATGGCAGCATGCTGTTAGAATCTAACATAAGGCTTTCTATATTTAACTTAAGAAAACTGACTTGAGATTCTCAACCAAATTAAAAATATGGAGGATATTTAAAAATATTAAATTTGAGGATAATGTCACTTATCTTCTAATACCCTTATCTGATTGCTCTTGCTGAATTTCTGCTTTTAAGTAGACTCTTTATGTACTAATATCAATACTTTTATTCACATGATGCCTTGAATTCATCAGAGGATAGTAGAAAATGAGAAGATTAACGCAGAGAAAACATCAAAGCAGAAGGTGGATCTTCAGTCGTTACCTACACGTGCCTACTTGGATCAGACAGTTGTGCCTATCTTACTACAGGGGCTTGCTGTACTTGCAAAGGAGAGGTAAAGAACTTAATGTAGCATTTGTCTCAAAATAAAGGAAGCTCAGATGTGCCCAGGGCCTTTCCAATTAGGGGCTTGCAAAACCACTTTGTCTCCATCAAAAGCTCATGTACGGAACGTGGGGTGGATGTAATAGCATGTCTATTCTCTTGAGAAGCCAAGATGTGTTCTGTAACTAGCTGCATGCGATGTGAGCTGTATAAGAGAATATCAGTAATCTTATTGTCACAAGGACATGTAGTGTTAGTGCAAGGTTTTCACAGGATAAAAAGAATGCAGTCTGAATAAATAAGTTCTTTAAATACATCTGTTGTATGGCTCCTCGTGGCGAAAGCCTGGACAGACATTTCACCAGCGTTCTTAACCTGGCTCAGGGTTCTTGAATGAGCCCTGCTCCCTCAGTAAGTAGGTACTCCTCATGCTGTCTCTTACTTTGTTGAACAAGGTAGTTCCAGTACATCCAGCTGGCAATAGCATATAAACTCTTCCTCAGCACTGAGGCCAAATTTTGGCATTCACACACTGAGAGATGGTGCTGTAGCAGCATACTAATGATACGGTTCCCTTTGTTTTAAAGACTTCTTGCCAAGAGACCTCATATATACATTGAACAACATGGGAAGGATGTTCCTCAGTAGTAACACCCAATTGTCCTTCCTCTCCAGTTGATTCTTCTCATGTAGGTATAACTGGAACCACTTGAGTGTCATACTGCACATGCTAATAATATCCCTTTGTTGCCGAAGGAACAACCTTTGGTCAATCTTATCAAAAACTGCGAAGGACCACAATGGACCAAGTTAAAATCATGAGAACCTTCATACCTCTCCCAGCAGTGTCTTAACCCCAAAAGAACATTTGAGTTTAAACTAGAACCCACCCACATCAATAACTACAAATTTAGTTGCTATATAGAGACAATATTCTGCTGGTAACTGTGTACAGATCTTCTATTGACTTCTTTGGGGGTTCTGCTTTGGATGGAGAGTACTATGTAGTCCTAAATTGATATATCCTAGACCACAGTTAAAACTTTTGACACTTCCTTGGAATGAGTGTGATAACCTAATATGTGGGGCTAGACAAATTGGATTACCAGGATTTATGCACTACACTTTTCTAAGGCTGAAGAAAAACAAATCTACTTACCTAGCAAGGCTGTGGTGAGGCTTAATGGTAAAGCAGTTTTCATGTTAGTGTTTTTTCTTCCAATAATTTCAACTGTTATCACTAGTGTTGGTTAGAAAAAAATATTTGGCAGAAGCAACAAATATCTTTGAGGCAGACTGTTCTAATGGAGGCACTAAACAGTTGCTATTTGAAGTAAATCAAATAACAAGACAAGAACATATCGGACAAGGGAGCTGGCTACTTTAAATCTTTCTTACCTGGCAGGAGTTGGTGAAATAGGCAAATGCATTGGAAATTACATTAAATAAATTCAGTGTGTAAACTTGTGTAATTCACTTGACTCTTTAAGATGGATGTGGGTTGGAGGGGGAGAGGTGCCAGCCTTTCTAAACTGACTTTTCAGTTTGTCTAGTCAGTGTCACTTCCCTTGTCTCTTCTTCCCCTTAGATCTACTCTTCCTTCCCTCTTTCCTATGCAGTCTCCCTCCCTTCCAGAACCTGTGCACAGCATCTTCCCCTGGTAACTGCTTAATATGATTGTGGACACGTTTTAGGCATTGTCTGATGTCTGTCTTACCGATTTAACTCTGAACCAAAAGCCACTAAAAAAATAAAATGAGAAATGTTGATTACTGTAGAATCTGTATACATGCATCTTAATTATAGTTATGAAGAATGTTTTCTTCTCAAGCTATGACTACACTGAGACAAGGGTGTGACTCTCCTGTTCACATACACATATTTGCACTTGCTCTCATCAAGCTAGTACAAGTAGAAATAGCAGTGTAGCTACAGTAGCATGGGTGGCAGCAGCAGAGGCAAGGCTGAGCTGTGCTAAGTATACACCCTCCTGAAGCTGGTGTGCATTTACTTGGCACAGCTTAGCCATGCCTCTGCTGCTGAAACTGTGGCTACACTGCTATTTATACTCTCACTAGCTTGGTGAGAACTAATATGAGTGTGCACATGAGCAGAAGAAGCACACCGCTAGATCATATTGTAGATGTAGCCTAATAATGAAGGTTGTGTAGTGGCTAATCGAGGGCCAGCAAGTGTTGCAATGGGGAGCTTAATAAATTGAGGAAATTCCTGGTTAGGGAGTTCTCTAGTTGCTGCTGAAGCATGACACTTTGTGTTTGTTGTCATACTACAAAGCTGAAAATTTCTAATTTGTCCTGTGCTTTTACAAGTAAGTCTCTTGTTTTCAGTGAAGATGAAGAGCTCGCCAGCTCACTTAAATGTATGTGACAAATAGTAATTACTCTTGATTTTTTTTTATCTCTACAGACCGCCAAATCCCATTGAATTCCTAGCAGCGTATCTTTTAAAAAACAAGTCACAATTTGAGGACCGAAATTAATTCCATGGGAAGAGGAGGACAGTTTGGCTGCTAAACTTACATGCTAATTTGCCATGTTTCATTCTTTGCTGTAAAAATCATACAGAACCACCAATGTCTTTCATAACTGCACAATTTCCCTTATCTTTTCTTGTTATTTAATAAAGTACATTTTTATTCTCACTAGTCTTAAACTACGTATTTAGTGTCCTTCAGAATAAAGTATTGAAAGTTCACAGCTAGATGAAAGCTTGAATAATTCCAGTTGAATATTTCACCTCAGTACATGAAACAAATGTAATGATCTTACTGGTAAGAAATTACTAAAATCAGACTTGGTTTTATGTAGCTCCTTTCCTGTTAAAGATATCCTAAACTCTTAAAGCCATAAAATCGGTGCTAGTAGTGTAGAATTCAATATTTGCTGCTCCAGCAATGGTAGAAGCCAAGCAGTCATCAAAAGCATGTGAATATCCTTGGACACTAGAACTTTCTTAATAAACATTTCATTTCACTAAATAAAGACACCTCACTTCAGAGTCCTGTAGGATCCTTAATTTCCACTTAGGGTACGTCTACACTTACCGGAGGGTCCGGCGGCAGGCAATCGATGTTCTGGGATCGATTTATCGCGTCTGGTTTAGATGCGATAAATCGATCCCGGAAGTGCTCGCCGTCGACGCCGGTACTCCAGCTCGGCGAGAGGAGTACGCGGCATCGATGGGGGAGCCTCCCTGCCGCATCTGGACCCGCGGTAAATTCGGGCTAAGGTACTTCAAATTCAGCTACGTTATTAACGTAGCTGAATTTGCGTACCTTAGTCCGAAGTGGGGGGTTAGTGGGGACCAGGCCTTAGACAAGAAGTGGACACAAGGTACCATAGGTGAACATGTCATCTGAACGACAACATCCAATATTGCTGATACATTCATGCTACAGCAGTGTGTGATAGAGCATTATTTATTGGTAACTTCCTTAGTAATACATTTTATGGAATAATAACGGAATGGTCCATTTTTTGTATCTACAAATGTTCTTACCATGATCTTGTCCTGCCATTAGTAAAGTTGAATGGAAAAAAAGCATGAAGCATTGTTTGCCATATACCTAACAGCTTTCTTCTAATTCTGGAACATCAGTAGCATTAGCGATTTAAAAGGGACACCGCTTGAATGATGTGAAATTGACTTATTTAAAATAAAATTCCAGTGTCTAATAATAGAGCATCTTTTAAACGGTATACCCCTCAAATTTTATAAATACTTAAAATAACTATATAGATTTTTCTGTTTCCTTGCTGATGTTCAACACGCAATACTTTTTTTATTAATTTTCATTTACAGTAATCTTATGTTTTACTGGTAACTGCAATAGGTAAGTAACTTCCAAAATTTTCTTAATACAAGCAGTAGTAGTCAATCTTCTGCAGCCAAATGATCTCTTGAGTACGGTCTCGTGTTTTGCAACATGCATCATCATTATACTCTGTATCCATGCTCCCTATTTCTGCTGTGGGTTTTACCTCTGTGCACCTGAAGAGGAAAGATCAAACCTGTCATCCAGGCTAGAGGGCTTCCCATCCAGTTCTGACTTCTGTTTGATGGCAGCAGTGTCAGGCTGTTTCTAGATCTTTCCTTTGGTGTATAGGAAATTCTTTATAAATATTCTAAATGATCTGCAAATTTGTTCCTTTCCTTGTCCATAGGTAGGAATCATTCTGTGTTTCTCTTTAAGCAGTAGCTGCACCTCCTTTAGAGACAAAAATCTATGATCCTTATGTGCATTTGCTCCACAGCCTTTGATGCTGCTCCAGTTTGCATCCTCAGCCACTGGCCCCTACCATGGGCATGGTAGGAGTGGTTCCCTGGAGTTTGGCACTTGAACTCCATGAAATAGTGCCAATCATGGAGAGGAGCTGTCTCCATTCCAGCCTCCCAACCTGATGCCACAGAAGCTAACAGCTTCCAGTGGCACTTCTGTGTGGTTCCAAGCTCTACCTCAGCAGAGGATGCATTGGGTCTGCAGATTCTAGCCCCAGGAAAGTCCCGTCCCCTCTGAAATAGGGCTGCACCTCTGTAAACCTCAGAGTGATACCACAGGACCTTGTGACATCTAAGTGGGCATATCTGCTGTTCTCTGGTCAGCACAAGCCAGCTTCAGGAACCACCAACACTCTAATCAGCTGGAGGTAGGTGCTTTTTCCTAAATGATATGGTGTCCCTCTTTAGACTGTTCTAATAACATGCCCATCCTTCCTCCTCAAGCAATGCCCCCACTTAAAATTTTTGCAAGTTTTACAAGTTTTAGCAACTTTAATAGTTGCTATTTAACATCTTCCCTAGTTACTGATGGCATAACAAGTATTTCATTATAACTAATATATGAATACATCATCCTGCTTCTTACCAAATACAGAAGACATTTATTGAATACATCTGCCTCTTATGCATCATGATTGATAGTTTTACCATGGTTGTCTAGAAGTGGATCTATAGTATTGCTAGGATTTCATGTGTTCCTGATGTATTTGAAATATTCCTTCTCACTATCCTTAGCCCTACTGGCTGTAGAGTTTTCACTGATTTCTTTATCAATTTGCTGCATTTCCTAACTGCTGATTTGTACTCATTACTCTCAGCCTCTCCTTTTTTCATCTGTTTATATATAGTAACTTCTTTCACTCCCTTCTTAACCAGGAAGGTTTTTTTTAACCAAAGCAGTCTTCTTTCATGATTGCTAATTTGGTGTTTAGTAAGCTACTAACACCAATAATTAATTATACACAGCAATCATAATTTACTAGAATCACAGAAAAGGAAAGGTTTATGGAGAGTAACCGACTTCAATCGAAGAATTATGTATCAATTCCTTAATTAAAGATGCATTAGCAGAAAAAAGACCTCGTAATTATGAAAGACATTTTTATAAAACTTTGAGGATTAGTTTGTTACTCATATTTTCTTTGCACTGAACTTTTTCATCCAATGTTTTCTTGGTATCTGTCTCAGAATAAATACTTAATGTTATGTAATACTACATAACAGAATATATAGCATTGTGATCATAGTGCCTACATGCATAACCTTTTGCTTAACAGGCTCTAAACTTTAAGGGAGTCAGGGTTTAGCCCTCATCTCTGACTATGGAGTGTAATCCTGTAAGGACTAGAGAAGCTTACCTTAACTCCTATGTAAATGTAGCCCTATATGGAGCAGGGTAGGAAAAAGCAGGATTGCTGCAGGGAATAAATAAGCTCCTGCAAAAGACCTTAGCTCAGGGGAAAGGATGTGATTTGAGATATTGAACTTGTGTTTAACAATTTTGTTCGAAGTAAGAAAACCAAGGCTGTGAAGAAGAGAGACTGAAATCCTGTAGCTGGAGAGCATTCTTTAGTGTATGGACTGGTGACTTAGCCCACTGGCTTGCAGGTAACCCAAGCAAAGTATGGAAATGTGTGGAAGCAACCCTTGAGAGATACCAATTCTCTATTTTCTCCAAAACTTGCCAGAATGAGTGACCATTGCTGTAGGATATTGGAATACAGACTGGCAACTCCTTGCAATAGTAAGGCTAAAAGCTTGGTTAATAGTTAACAGAAATGGTCTAATTAGATTTGACTGTCATCACTTCTTAAATAAGAGCACCAATAGATATTTTCTATGTTCACAATACGTTATTTGATTCCTTTCTTTGATTCCCTAATGTTCCCATTTTTCACTCTTTCCATATTTCCAATTTAATGAGAATATCCTAGCAAGTTGTCAGGGCCTCAACAGATAATTCCCTTCTTGTCGTCTAATTGTGTCCAACTCTTAAAAAACTAAATAGGCTTAGGCCAAGTTAGTGTTTGGAAGGGTGATTTACCTGAACTAATAATTTCATAACAAAAACTAATCTAAGTTAAAGGAACTTTAAGGTTGCAAAGTTAAATACTCCAAGTTAGGAAATGACAGAATTAAGGCTGCCTACGGCAACTTTAATCCTGTTTCCTTGTGTGTATTATGTGATCACACTATTTCTATTGACTCTCTGCCTGGTTCATTTCACAGGAAGGATTTCAAGTAAAACACGCGTAAGTATTTGCAGGATTAAGAACTAAGGGTGAAGTCACTTCTGCTTATTTCTCCTCCAACCCCAGATGTGGAACCTACCTTTAGGGTGCTTCATGCACCAGATACATAGGATCCATTCAGCTTTGGTGAGGCATATACATCTTTTCTGTTCTAATTAGAGAGTCTGCACAAACCATGTTTGAAATTTTCCTGGAGTACCTGAGCACAAATCTCCAGCAAGGAAGTGAGAGGATCAGTAGATTCATTTGTATGATTTCAGGCTGTATTCCCTTTTTGTTTGCTAAAATACAAATATTTACAGATATTCCTACCACACCCATAAGAGTAATCCTCTCCCCTCATGTGTTCATCTTTCCCTATGGCAGATGCCATTGTAAGGAGTTAGTGTTTCAATGCAAATGCGAAAGGGTGGGTTGCATCACCAAAGGCTCTAAAGTGCTGGCAGAAGAGTGGTCAGAAGAGGGACAATATTGAGAGTGAAGAAGAAAACGCCTGTATTGCCCAAGAATTCAAAGGGAGGAGATTTGGCTGCAGGCTCTAATAGTATGGCTTTCTCAACACAGCCTCTCAGAGTATTTTGGAAGTCATTAAAAAATTGGAAGGAAACTTGATTCTAGTAGTCCATGTGTAATAGCAGTAGAGGGCAGAGTGACTTATGAAGAAAAGCAATGTTAAGTCTATTTTGGGTAACATGCAAGGGGTTATAGAATGAGACTGTTAGTTCTAAACTTCTGGCAGGTGTCCTGATTAATGACAATATAATTTTTCTTCAAAAACTGGGGTGGGGGGGTTCAAAGAATTTTAACTTGAGTGTTTTGACTTATGAAAAGGGTGATGTTAAAAATCTACACCCACTCCCTTCCCCTTTCTTGATTTAACTTCAGATGAAAAATGACCCTCCTTTGTGTATCACTAAAACTCTTCTTGTTTCCTTCAAATTCTCTGGTGCTTAAAATGCAATTAAAGTGTTCTACCCACGTCACCTCCATCCTTCCCCAAATAGTTACAATTTAATTGCGCCACTTTGACATTTAGTACTAAGTATTATCACTATTTTAGAGATAATTTGTTAGAAATGAAGCACTACTTTTATTCTAGGAGTAGCGGTTGTTATCGTCCCA